ATATCCAAATGCTATCATTTCTACATGTAATCAATATGCAATTGTTATGGAAATATTTTATATTATTTTTATGATATTGAGTCTTTGAAATCCAGTGTGTGTTTTGTACTTACAGCAAATCTTAATTCAGAATAGTCACATTTAAAGTGCTTAGTAGCCACATCCAGCTGGTGGTCCCCCATACTGGACAGCATAGTTTATAAGCTACCAATATTAGTTATGTTAACAAACACCAATAATTAATAAAACAGAATAATTAATAGCTATTGATTATTTGGTGTTTACTATGTACCAAGCACTATGCCAAGTGTTTTATAGTCATTACCTCATGAGGTCGATGAAGAATTGAGGCAGAGACGTGAAGTGATACGATCAAGATCACTCAGTTTGCAACTATGTCATCTGGGAGTTAGATACAAAATTTTCCCTGTGCCTTAGTTACTATGCTTTAACCCACTATTCTATTGCATGTCTCTATTTGTAAAGTGATCAAATTACAAAGTTATGATTGACATAATGGAATAACCCGGCAGAACACATATTGTTTTCAGATGCATGTTGAACATTTACCAAAAGAGACCATAAAATGAGTCTCAACACATTTGAAAGGATTCACATCCTATAAATGGAATTAAATTAGGGGGAAAAAGTAGCAGAATGTTATTTGGGAACCTCTCAAACATTTGGAAATGAACATCACACTTCTAAATAGCCCATGGATCAAAGAAGAAATCAAAAGGGAAGTGCTGAAAGTATTTTGAACCAAATGTAAATAATACAATATATCAAAGTTTGTGGGATGTAGGTAAAGCAGTATTCCGAGAGAAATCTATAGCATTAAAGTGACTGTATGAAAAAAGATGAAAGGTCTCACATCTTAGGGTCAGAAAGAACTATCAAGATCATCTAACCCAACTTTGAGGTTTGAAGCTCCTTATAGCACCCTCTCAAGTGGTTGTGTACCTCTTTTTACAGCCCCTTGCCCTGCAGGAGGGAGCGCCTCCCTTTTATAACATTCTATGCCATCTTTGAATGCTCTGGTCTCAGCTTTTCTTTGCAAACAGGGCAAGTGCTTGTTACCTTTGAGCTAGATGCCAAATACACAACCTTCTTTGCTTCATCCACATGAAGGGTCCAGACCTGTGGTTCAGTGGGATCTTTTGAGCCTCCATCCCAAATGGTGAATTTCTCCTGGCCAGAGAGTAAGTTCCACAAGCGCAGGGTACGGTCCTTCGAGGCAGAGATGGCGAGCATCCCTTTGGCAAACACTTTCACACACCTCACCTCTCCTGCAGCAGGCCAGGGTGAGGGAGAATATATTAGCTGGGAACATTTTGACCTTCCAACTACCAAAACATCTATTGGCTTGGAAATTCCCTGGTTTACCAAAGAAAAGATGGATAGATTCGAACATATCTAGATTACAATTCATGGAATGTGGCAAAGCTAAACTGAGTGCAACAATTGGTTGGGATTAAGTCAATTGACCAAATTTTGAACTTGTAATAAATAGAGATCACTCAGAGGTACAAAAGTTCAACATCATCCAAGGAGTATTTAAAGTTAATGAACAAAAAACAAGGTAAAGTTAGAGGAGAAGACGTCATAATCTTGGAGAGATACTTTTTCTAAGCAAAACTTGAAATTTAGAAGCCATAAAGAGGAAAGATTGACCAATTGGATTACATAGAAGTGAAAATTGTCAGGGGGATAAACATGTATTTGAAAGATACACATTGGGAGAAAATATTTGCAGTGTATAACAGATAAATGGAGTCCCTCCTTATTAAGCAGAGTTCTTACAAACAGGCAAGAAAAATCTCAATAACCTACCCACAAGTTGGACAAAGAATATAAACAAGAAATTTACAGCAATAGTACAAGTGGACAATAGGCATTTGAAAAAGATGCCCAATCTCAGTAGTAACCACAAAAATGCAACATGGAATACCAATACCATATCACCCATCATATTGACAAAAACTTTATGGATTGACTACTGGAGTACTGGCAAAGATACAAGAAATCAGTTACTTTCATATCCGGCTGATGGGATAGAAGTTGATACAAATTTGTAAAAGGGTGATTTGGTGACATTTATTGAAAGTCAAAATGTGTACTCTCTGTGTTTTGACAATATGCTATAGTTAGGCAAGACATTGTTATCCTGGAAAGGTGGATAAAGGATACACGGGAACTCTCTGCATGGTTTTAGCAACCTCTGAGTCTACAATTACTTTAGAATAAAAAGCTAAGAGAAAGAGGGAAAATGAAAAATGTGTATACAATTTGACTCAGAAATCCCACTTCTAGGAATGTGTTTTACAGAAATAATACTGTAAGTGTGTGAAGATGTAGAATGACTTAATTTTTTTGAGGGGGGGAGGTAATTTGGTATTTATTTATTTATTTTAATGGAGGTCCTGGGGACTGAATCCAGGACCTTGTGAATGCTAAGTGTGCACTCTGCCACTGAGCTATACTTTCCCCCTAGAATGACTTTAACTGCAACACTGCATAAAATGAAAACTGAAAACAACTTACTGTCTATGAAAAGGGAGTTGGTTAAATGTGATACATCCATGTAAAGAATATTATGCAGGCATTAAAAATAATAAGACAGTTGTACCTACATATACGTTGACCTGATCATCATAATAATAATTAATACAATAGCAAATACTTACTGAGTGCTTTCTGTGTGCCAAGCATAGTTGCAAGTGGCTGACATGCATTAGCCTCCTTTAATCTCATAACAACTCTATGAGGTACTACTACTCTCCCATCGTATAGATGCAGAAACTGAGGCACAGCTGACTATAGTAACAATCCAAAGCCACATAGTTAATAAGTAATAGAGCCAGGATCTCAGCCTGGAGCCCAGGCTCTCAACCACTACATCACCTTGTTACAATCTATTGTAACAAAAGCAAGTTGCAGCCCAGTATAGGAAATGCCATGATGTGATTTTTTGGCAAAAGCTCGAAGTGCAGAGCTGTGTCTGCATAAGCCTAGGGGAAAGCCGCCAGTGGCATATAACAGACTGTGAGCACTGATCACTGCCAGGGGGAAAGACTGAAGGGTTAGGGGAGAGTAAAGGAAGGGAATTTTACTTTTTTAGAATTCATACGCCAGCAGTATTGGGGGCGATTTTTATTTCTTGCTATTTGGGTATTTTTTTAACCGAAATTTCTATAAATGGTAATGCTTTGTAATATACCCCCATACACAGGATGCTCTATCATTGTTAAAATGAATTAGATATATACGTACATATGATACGGAAGGAGGCAAAATGTGATGTTAACTAAAAAAAAAAACAGGTCACACACGCTTACATGACTATATATAACCATATATGTACACAGAGTTAGGAAGAGATGGTCAGAGAACACCACTTCCATCACACGGATACAATAGCCAAGAAGAAAGAGAAGAATGTGGTACAAATGAACTCATCTACAAAACAGAAACAGACTCACAGGCATAGAGAACAAACTTACGGTTACCAGGGGGCAAAGGGGTTCGGAAGGGATAAATTGGGAATTCGAAATTTACACCTTTTGGGGAGTGGTGGCAATGTTAGCTATCTTGATTGTGGTAGTGGTTTCATGGGTGTATACATCTATCAAAATTCATCAAATTTTACATCTGAAATATGTGTAGTTTACTGTATAGGAATCATACCACAATAAAGATTTAATTAATTTAATTAATTAATTAATTAATTAATTAAAACTCAGGGAAAGAAGAAAGAAGAAAAGAGTAGAGTATGGTAAAATAATTAGAAAGTGACGAGCTTTGAGTATTTATTACTTTTTTAAATGGAATTGATTTAGTTGTATGTTTCTACAATTTAAGGCTGAATAACGGCTGTGTGACATTGTGGCTATTGACAACCACCTCACCAAATTCCTGAAAATTTCCCAGTTGGCTCTGAAACCTCAGTGCTAACCACCGCCAACATGCTACCACGTGATTGGAAACCTTTCACATTATATAGGTTTATAGCACGTTCAGTGTTTTCAGTAAGTTGAGTACTGAGTTTTTCTGATTACAAATAATAAGAGTTTCAGGACTTTGAAAAATGAGTCAAGGTCACCGTCAGTAGGTGGGCTCAGGCATTGAACAGAAGGCTCACACCCAGATACAGAGATTGACTAGACCTCTGGGAAAACAGCCATCCGGATAATGATAAAACAAAGTGAATCTTTTTTTTAAATTACAAGTAAAGTTTATTTTCCCAAAGGAACTTTATTCAGGCATACTATTAATTTAAAAAAAAAAAGAGCTCAAGAGGGGAATTTATATCCTGTTCTCAAGCACTAAACTTTTATAAACTAAAAATTTCTCTAAGCGATTTATCATTGGGAGGGGCAGTATACCCTTCTTAACGTTCTGAATCTGAATGTTAATGTCCTCAGCTTAGACTAAGGCGTTGTTATTATAAGACCACGCCATCATATTCCAATTATTCTCAGTTGAATGCTACCATGAGTTTTTTTTCCCTCTGAGAGATTGCATGACTTAAAAGTACATCACATTCACTGTGGGGAAACACGGGGAATCTTATTTGACAGATAGTCTATCAGGACTCACCCCACTCCGACCCCTCAGACAAAAAGAGTCAAATGAAAACACCTAATACTGGGAGCTTTGGGGTGGGGGAGTGTTTTAATCTGCTACAGTCTGTTTGAAAACAATGACATGACACTTCACGAAACCCATAGGAATCATCGCACCTTCCAATTCAAGGGTGCCATTCACTGAAAATAGTCAACAAGATGAAGAAAATACTGCCAGAGTAAAAACAGATTCATCCCAGTGTCATCCAAGCAGCAGATAATTAGAATTAGCCTAAATAGCCAAATGTTTTTCTAATAGCTTAATAAATTCTGGAACATGATCTATCAAGGAAAATGAAATATTTTTGCTGCATTTAAATATTACAAAGATGAAGATTCGATGGATCATAGCAGCATTATCCATAACAGCCCCCAACTGTAAATGTCCTTCAAGGGATGAATGGATGAAAAGCTCTCTTCCTTCCACACAATGGAATACGACTCAGCAAGGCAAAGGCACAAACTCTCAACAAATGTAATAATACAGATGGATGCCAGTGTATTGAGTGGAGTGAACGAAACCAGATGCAGAAGGTCACCTAGTGTACAATTCCTTCCGTATGAAATATCCAAAGAGGCAAAATTTGTAGACTCAAAAACCACATCAGTGGTTGCCATGGAGCTGAGGGTGGAAGCGGGGATGGACTGCAGAGGCAGCAGGAGGGAATCTCCCTGTGTTGATGGAAAGTTCCACAGCGGGATTATGGTGATGGTGGTACAACTTGGTAAATTTACTAAAAATTTACTGAATCGTACGTTTCATACATATCTTGTATGGTATGTAAATTATACCTCCATAAAGTTGTGTTAAAAAAGATTCAGTGAAAACAAACGAATGTTTATGGCACAATGTTGAGAAACAAATAATGAAATAGTGTACATGCTTAGATTGCCATGAGAAAATATTTTAACATCTTTATTGAGATATAATTCACAAGCATGAAATTCACCTATTCATGTACACTGTTTTTTCTTCTTTTAATGTTCCCAGAGTTATGCAACCATCACCACGGGCTAGGTTTAGAATATTTTCAAAACCTCAAAAAGCTGTCACTCCCTCCCCTTCCTCTCCTTATCATTTAAACCATCTTAAAGTGTATAATCAGTAATACCTAGTACATCCACGATGTTGTGCAAACATCACCTCTGTCTGATTCCAGAACATTTTCATCATCTAAAAAGGAAGCCCCACCCCTATCAGCAGTCACCCTTCCTCCTACTGCCCACCCCCGGCCCCTGGCAACCACTAATCTGCTTTCTGTCTCTACGGATTAACCTGTTCTGGATCTTTCATGTAAATGAACCATACATGTGGTCTTTTGTGACTGGCTTCATTTGATACCATGTCCCAAGCCCCAGCCTCACAGCTTCCTTGCTATTTGGTAAATATGCCTTTTCCCCACCTCAGGGCCTTTGCACTGGCTGTTTTCTGTGCCTGGGATGTTCTTCCCACTCTCCTGCCCTTTGCAAACTTATTCCTTCATACCCTTTGTAACTTGGCTGAATGTCCCTGCTCAGGGAAATCCCTTCCCTAACTGCCCTATGTTGGTCCCTTTGGTTATTGTAGCTCATGACACTGAAAGAGTAGGAAACTAACTAACAGAATGGCTTCCCCAATGCTAAAGCTGTTTGCTGATTCACTGTGACTTAAAATTCTTGCAATCTGTTTTCCTCTTTTCTTGACAAAACCTCATCTCTGCTTCACTCGCTCAACAGCATTTGTGCTAAACAGTCCTCAACCTTCCTATTACACTCTCCACTCCCTATAAATTCTTTACCCAGAATAGCTTATCCTTTAACCCAAAAGCTGTATTCCAGAAAAGTGGTCATGGGCTGATAGCCTCAGAAGAATGAACAGACTCCGGAGTTTCTCCATGACGCCACGTGGATTCATCAAGATTAAGAGGTATACGGCCCCCTGGAAAACACCCCGATTGTTGTCGCCTTTCTGTTCCAACCAGTTTTTCTATAAAACCTCAGGACACCAACCCCAAAAGGGATTCACAGTCTTTGAGGCATTAGCCTCTGCAACTCCCCTTTGCCTGGCAAAGCAATAAAGCTGTCCTTTTCTAATTCTCCCAAAACCCTGCCTCTGAGTCTCAGTTTGGCTACTGGGATTCAGAGGCTGGTTTTTTTTTGGTAACAACAGCCTGTCTTCCTCATTACACTTATCACTATTTGTGACTACATTTTCGTCTGGCTTATCTTCCCAAACGCGTGGGCCTGACTTGGGGCCAAGATTAGGATAAGACAAGTGAGGTACCTGCCTTGGGTGCAAAGTTTAAGGAAGTGCCAAATAACTGAGTTTCCCTTTTGTCTCTAGGTAGAGTATGGCTTGACACAGCACTTTTTTTGTTTTTTGTTTTGTTTTGTTTTTTAAACAGTTATTGTTCAAAGCTACTATGTTTGGGGTGTTTTGTTACACAGCTATAGCTAGCTGATGCAGGAACAAAGGCCAGGGTTTTGATACAGAGAAGTGAATTTGTGTTGAAGGGACTCTGGGGACTGACTGATGACCGTGAGACACTAGGAAGAAGCTGGTCATGAACCTCGCTTCCCGAGCTTCACCTGTGTGTCCAGTTAGCATGTGGATCACCTGCTGCTCTTCCATGTCCCACACAGCCACGAAGCCCTCCTGGGTGCCCACCACCAGCAGTTTCTCTTCCAGGCTCCACGCCATGGCAGTGATACCTGCAGTCACACAGAGACAAGAGCTCCTGGGTCTGAGTATTGAGCCACAAGTACTTTCATGGGCCCCCACTTCACAGATAAAGAGATTGAAGCATAGATAGAGAGGGTTCCTTGTCTAAAGCCACACATCTAGAAGGGGCAGGACCAGGATTTCAAGGCCAGTGCTGTCAGAGGCCAGATTCAGATGCTGGGTTCTAATGTTTACATTGCTCTGTGGTAGGAAAATGGACTGAACCACTGCTCAGTCATAAGTGTGGCTAGCTCACCGGTTCCTTCTCGGGGGCAATTCTGCTCCCCAGGGCACCCTGGGAAGTGTTTGGAGACTTTTTATTTGTTGTTACAACTGGTGACCAAGGTGCTACGGCATCTGATGGGTGGAGACCAGGGATGCTGTTCAACATCTTACAGTGCCCAGGGTGGCCCCCACCAGACAGAATGGTCCAGCCCCCAGTGTCAGTCATGCATGGCTACGGGCACCATTGGAGAAGACTCGGGAAGGGGATTATATTGGCTGAGAATGAGGACCCTGCTTTTGACTTCTCCTTGAGTTCAATCTGTGTGGAAAAATAAGAGCTGGTGCCCCAAAGAGAAAATATTTGCCAATAGTTTGAACAAACACAGCCCAAGGTTCTCTGTTGATTTGTCCTTTGCTGAGGAGAGAGAGAGACCGAGTTACACTGAAGAAAACATCAGCCCAGATATTAGGAGACCAGACTTTCCGAATGCCCTCGGGTCAGTCCCTTTCCTGCTCAGTTTCCCCACATGTAAAATGGTGGGAGAGACATTGAAATCAGAGCCAGTGCAGAGAATCCAGGATTTGGTTTCCACTTCAGTGGGACAGAGCATGAGGAGACAGGTTTGTTTTTCTTCTCTTTTCTTTCTTTTTTTCCCCTTCATTTTTTGTGACTCACTCACTGTGTGACCTTGGAAATGTGAACTCAAACTTCTCACTTTGAAAATGAAACTGAAGCCCAGAGTGGGTGGGAACTTTCTCAACTTCAGCTTGACCAGAGCTCAAACAACTGGCACAGTGGGTCTGAAACACAAAACATCTCCCTGCCCCAGAGATGCCAAAAACCAAAATCTCCATTCTGAGATATAACTGCCTTTGCCTCTACTACGGCAGACATCACTAATCAATCACCATACTATCTGTGATTTGTCCATGCCCCTCTTTCCCCTACCTCCACTGCCATAGCTATTCCATCATGCCTCCTCTAGCAGTAAAACCCACAGCCTATAGATTTGAGCTGAATATGTGGTTACTCACACAAAGGCCATATTTCCCAGGCTCCCTTACAGTCAAAAATGGCCAAGTTCCCACTAGTGAGACATGAGCAGAAGTAGTAAGTTCTGCTTCTGGGCCATCCCTTGAAAGGAAAAGGTCTTCCATCTACTTCTTCCCACTTCCCACTGGATGGAATGCCACTGTGGTGGTCGGAGCTAGAGCAGCCATTTGGGGCCATTAAGTGGAAGCCTCACACTGAAAATAGCAGAGCCACGAGATTGAAAGATTCTGGGTCCCTGACACCCTAAAGACACCGTATGACCTTTACTTATGCCTGGACAGTTGTGTGTGAGAGAAATGAACTCCTGTTTTATTTGAGCCAGTGCTACTTTGGCCTTTGTTACAGCAACACAACATGTCTCATAACCCATACACATTCTTTCCTATTAAACCAGGTACAGTCTCAGAATCCTCCTCACCACAGCATTCCAGTAGCTGACTCTAAATCAACTCTTCCATGCATTGTATTTAGCGGCCCTTAGAATTTCTATTTGGGCAGCACTGTGCCTTGGAAGCGTAGCTTTCCCTACAAGGCCACGTGGCACAGAAATGGCCTAAGTCATAAGAGCTAGTACTTGAATCACAAGCTGATTGTATTCAATGGCCTCAGGATTAATGTGAGAGATTGTGGGCAGGCAGATAAAGGGATGGATGAATGGAGGTGGACTGGTGGATAAGTGGACAGAGAGAGGCCTGGTTGGATGAGTGCATGAGTGGATGGATGAGTATTAGATGGTAGGTGGATAAATCATCTGATAGGTGAGTGGGCGAGTTGATGAATGGCTGAGTTGTGTGGATGGGTGGTGGGTAAGTGAGTAATAGAAGATGGCAAGATGGGAGAAATGGAAGGATGAGTGGTGTGGAGAGAGGGGTGGAAGGAAGGACGACTAAGGAAGTATGGATGACTGGGGGTGGATGGATGGATGGAAGGGAAGGAAGGAGGTGGATGAAAGGACAGACAGATGGAAGGAAGGAAGGAAAGGGAGGAAGAAGGGATGGATGGATGGATGGGTGACAAGTGGATGGAGAGACCCCTCTGGTCCCTCTGACATCTGGTGTCCCAGGGAGGACCTACAAGTTCCTCCAGCTTCCCAGGGGCCAGTGGGGCACCAACCCCTGGCTACCAGACTTCCTAGCTGGAGCCTGTAAACTGCAGAAGCCGTCAGTCAGATGGGCACGGAGCTCTTGGAGCCGAGACCCCAGGGGCATCCCCTCGCTCCGGGCTCATTAGCAGTATTTACACAAGTAATCTGCAGTCCCTAGGGGGCAGAGGGAGCTGAGTCAGCATGAGACAGCAGGGGCAGGCCTGATGGCACCCCTGGGGCTTCCGGCTGGCAGAGGGGAGCCCCAGAGAGCAGCCCGAAACACCTGTGAGCCACTTGCCCCAGCCAGGTAAGGACTGGCAGGATTTTTGCTAAGCTGGGGAGACCCACCTTTGTGACAGCCAGTGAGGGTGGCCAGGAGGGGTCCTCCCGGGGGCTGGAGGAATCCTCCGAGGGGCACCAGCACGGGGTGTGGGCACACCCGGAACCAGCTCTGCGCCTGTTGGCATAGCTGTCCCACCAGTGCCGGGTGTGAGGTGGCGAAGAAATGGAGTCTGGCCAGGAGTTCTGTATACAGGACACTTCTCTCTGCAACAGAGGGGATACCGGTTAAGGGGAAGGGCACTGCTTCCCCAGGATCAAGCCCCCGTTCTGTCGTCCACTCCTGCCCCTTTTTCTGTTCTCCAGATACACAGGCTCCTACTTCAAGTGCAGGTTTCCAGCCTCTAGGCCTTTGCCTGTGCTGTTCCCCCTTTTCTCATGCCAATCACCTCGTCATCCTCATCTTAACTCAAAGATCACTTCCATAAAAAGCATCCTTCAGCCCAACCCTCCGATCCCCTCCCTCCCCTCCCCCAGATCAGTTACAATTTGACATTTTGTTACACATTTATTTGATGGCTCAGCCTCTCCCTGCCCCAACCCCTCCACACTAAGTGCTAGACCATGGGTCTCCCGAAAACAGAGGTGATGCCGGTCTTGTTCATTGCTGCGTTCTAAGTGCCTGACACCCCACAAGTGTCTGTTAGAGAAATAACGATCATTTCCCCAGCCCGTCATAGTTACGGAGTGGGTTAGCATCCTGTGGCTGCTGTAACAAGACAACCTGAGGGGCTTCAAACAACAGAACTTTCTTCTTGCACAGTTCTGGAGGCCAGATGTCCGAAATCAAGGTGTTGGCAGGAGGCAGGGCTGTGCTTGCTCCAGAGGCTCTAGGGAAGGATGCTTCCTTGCGTCTTCCAGCTTCTGGGGTCTCCAGGCATCCTTGGCTTGTGGCCACATCCCCCAACCTCTCTTTTTTTAATTTTAATTTTTTATACAACTGTAAAAGGTATGAACCCTCCCTTTACAGTTATTACAAAATACTGACTACATTCCCCGTGTTGTACGGTACATTCTTGTAACCTATTTTACACCCAATAGTTTGTACCTCGCACTCCCCCCATATTGCCCCTCTCTCCTTCCCTCTCCCCACTGGTAACCACGAGTTTATTCTCTATATCCGGAGTCTGCTTCTTTGTTATATTCACTAGTTTGTTGTATTTTTTAGATTCCACATATAAGTGATATCACACGGCACTTGTCTCCCTCTGTCTGACTTAGTTCACTTAGCATAATGCCCTCCAATTCCATCCATGCTGCTGCAAGTGGCAAAATTTCATCCTTTTTATGACTGAGTAGTATTCCATTGTGTATCTACCACATCATCTTTATCCAGTCATTGGTTGATGGGCAGTTTGGTTGCTCCCACATCTTGGCTATTGTAAACAGTGCTTCTATAAACATTGGGGTGCATGTATCTTTTCAACTGAGTGTTGTTGTTTTTTCAAGTAAATACCCAAGAATGGAGTCGCTGGGTCATATGGCCGTTCTATCTTTAGTTTTTTGGGAAGCCTCCACACTGCTTTCCACAGTGGCTGCATCAACTTACATCCCCACCAGCAGTGTGAGCGGGCATGGCCCCAGTCTCTACCTCTGTCTTCACGTGGCCTGTTCCTCTCTGCATTTGCTCCTTTTCTGGTTCATGTCTCCCTCTGTTTCCCTCTTATAAGGGCACTTGTGATTACACTTTGGGTCCAGCTAATCACTTTTTTTCCCCCATGAGGTAACAGTCACAGGTTCCAGGGATTAAGAGGTGACTACATCTTGGGGGGGGGCAAATTTTTCTGCCTCCCACATAGAGGTGTTCTCATTATTACCCCAAGTGTATAAAGGGGAAAATTGAGGCATGGAGAGGTTAAGCAACTTACACAAGGTCACACAGCCAGTTAAGAGGCAGGAATCTGACCCCAAAAGTTTGATTCCAATCGCCAGTGAAGAGCAAGGATACTGGAGGGAGACAGTTCATTTTGTCCCTGTTGTTGGAGTGTCCTAACTGTGGGGCCTGGGGCAGCGGTGACAACACCCTGTGCCTTGGTTTGTGGGTGGGTGGAATAGGGCAGGGCCAGGACCAGGGGCAAGTGCTCCACTGACAACGGGTGCAAAATTTAAGGTGGTGCCAACAAACTCAACTGTCAAGATAAATACTATCTTACAATGTAATTTTTTTTAAATCAAAATGAACGCCCCTCAAGTCCATTTTGAACAAATGTCAGTCTTTTAAACAAAACAAGGTCAGAAATGGCACCATGCCCAGGCATCCTGGAGCCTGAGGCAACAGGAGAGATCGGGAATGCAGATCTGCTTTCAGGAGCTGGCCGAAAGTGCTGGAATGAGGCGAGAGTGCGTGGTTGCTCCCACTCCGCTCCGCCATCTGGCGGCAACATTCATTTCTACACTTTCTCGAGCTGGACAGCCCTAGGTTGTCAATCAAGGGATAAGGCAAAGAACCTACTGTGATTTGAGCGTTTACATCTTCCCTTAAACTGGGCAGTTGTACCCAACACTGTTTTCCTGGGAAATCACTCCCTTCGAGCTTTAAAACTCCTGGGGAGCGTGAGTGCACGAGGAAGGTGTAACTGATCATGGGCACCCCCATCTTTCACTGGGGCGGGATCCTAGACACACTTTAACTCTGTCCCACATTTCCAGATGAGGGAAGCAAAGGTTCAGTGCAGAAATGGCTCATCCAACACCATTCTTGTCAACAACATCAGCGCTGTCACGTGACAGTAACAGGTTTCTTGGATGGCGACAGGCTGTGCATGAACTGACTTGCAAATCTTTCCCAGCAGCCCTGGGTGGGAGGGTCAGCTAGCAGCCCTGTTTTGCAGATGGGAGAACTGAGGGCTGTAAGGTGGCGATGGGGGTGGGGTAGGGGTGGCAATGGTAAGGGACTTGAGAAGTCACACTGCTGGTAAACGGCAGAGCCCAGATTTGAATCAACATGGTGAGGCTTAAAGTCCATGCTCATGGACTGGTTTATGTGGTAGGGGTGAACATTTGGCCAGGAGCAGGTAGATGACATCCCTACCCTTCCGGAGTTCAGAGTTCAGTGGAACAGACAAATGATGCAGAAGAAAGCCAGCAGAAATAATAACGAAGAGTTAAGCTAGATGGAAACAGCGTGCAGTGATGGGAAGTGCAGGGGCTGGTGGCGGCCGGGGCTGTCCAGCTTCAGTGGTGGCCAAACAGGCTTCTCTGACAAAGTAGCATTTGGCAGCTCTGACAGAGCTGTGGAAGGCATCTCGGAATTAAGCACCTTCATAAAAACCCTCAAATCAAAACCAGCTGGGAAATGCATGATAAAAACCATCCTGACCACTTCACACTCATTAGGATGGCCATTATTCTTTTTTTATCCAGGAAATAAGAAGTGTTGGCAAGGATATAGAGAAACTGGAACCCTTGTGCCTTGTTAGTGGGAATGTAAAATGGTGCAGCCATTATGGGAAATGTCTGGCAGTTCTTCACAAATTAAACACTGAATGACCGAATGATTTAGCAATTCCACATCTGGGTATATATCCAAAAGAATTGAAAGCAGGGTCTCAAAAAAATCAGTGTATACCCACGTTCACAGCAGCATCATTCCTTATTAGCAAAAGGGAGAGACAACCCAAGTGTCTATTGACTGGTGAATGGATGAGCAAAATGTGATTCATCCACACAGTGGAATATTATTCAGTCTTAGAAAGGAAGGAGACTCTGACCCAGGTGACAACATGGATGAACGTTGAGGACATTATGCTGAGTGAAATAAGCCAGCCACAAAAGGACAAATACTGCACGATTCCACTTATAATGAGGTCCCTAGAGCGGACAAATTCATAGAGACAGAAAGATGGTGGGTGCCAGGGGCTGGGGGAGGGGGAATAAGGAATTAGAATTTAATGAGGACAGAGTTTCAGTTTGAGAAGACAAAAAAGATCTGGAGATGGATGTGGTGATGGTTGCACAACAACGTGAATGTACTAAATGCCCCTGAACTGTGCAATTCAAACAGTTGATTTTATATTACGTGTGTTTTGCCACAGTTTTTAAAAACAAAAACAAGCAAACCAAATACCATCCTGGACAGAGTATTAACGGAAGACTCAGAGACTCTTCTAGCTCTAGGGCAGAGGGTGGGTCAAACCCAGCTCAGTGACTTGCCCTGAGAACTAAGAATGGTTGAATCAATGTTTGTCATTGGTGCGATGACCGGAAATAACTTTGAACCCCAGCTGAGCAAAATGTTATCCCCCAGAACAAGAATTCCCTTCTTCTTTCTCATGAGTCGACCCAACTTACGAAAGAGTTGTGCTCAGTTATTAGCAGTCTATTTTGAATTTCATCAGTAAAAAAGAGATCTGTGGGAACATGTTTTCTTCCTGGTTATATTAAGTGGCGACACAATTTCCTTGATTTTGTCTGAGATACCTCCCATCTACCCCTTCTAGAATAAGATGTTGAGCTGGGGCGAGGGTGGGCACTGCCTTGGTAGTTTTCACTCCTAAGCGCTCCCAGCTTCAATTCAGAATTCTAGAAGCTGGAGCTGGAGGAAATCCCACAGGTGTAGACTGGAAAGGTGTGTGAGTTAATGCGAATCCAGGTAGTGCCTCAGTGAGGAGAGTGGCCTCCTAGAAGGTGCAGAGTGGACCACTCCCCACCACCCCTGCCAGGCCGGTTGGACTCACCCATGCCTCGGAGCTCCACGGCTGGGCGGCACAGCTGGAGGGCTTCCCGGACCAGGCCAACCTCAGGACAGTCCATGTGAGGGGCACACAGGTCAAAGTCATCCAACAGGCCCTCAATGCCCGCGGAGATGCCTCGGCAGGAAATCCAGTTCATGCTGCCTGTGGGGAGAAGGGGGTGCTGTGGGGAACACGCATCTCCCCATTTCTCCCTGGGGTTCTCACTCTCGGCACTGCTAACTTTTGGGGCTGGATCATACTCTGAGAGGGGTGAGAGGGAGCATCTGTGCACTCTAGGGTGTTGATCAGTGTCCCTGGCCTCCACTCACTCAATGCCAGTGGCATTCCCCAGCCAGGATAATCAAAAACACAAACATTGCCAAGTGTCCCTTGGGAAGCAGAGTCACCCCTGGTTGAGAATCACAGGAATGAATAGATGGATGGATGGATGGATGGAGATAGATAGATAGATAGATAGATAGATAGATAGATAGAAAGAAATGGTAGATAAACAGAGAGAGATTACAGACTGATAGACAAATGGATGGATGGATGGATAGATATAAAATGAAAGACAGATAGATGGTAAATAGAAGTGATAAATATGATAGGTGAGATTTTTATATTTATATACACATATAGAGAGAGATGATAGATCATAGATAGATGTGGATAGATAGGGAGATAGACAGACAGACAGACACAGTAGGTAAACAGAGAGAGATGGTAGATGATAGATTGACAGATAGACAGACACTGGGTCTCTCTCATTCTATGGCAAAGTTTCTCACCCTCTGCGCTATCCGCTAGCACTAGGTCCAGCAGCACCTCTCCCCCATTCATGACAACCAAAATATCTCCAGATATCACCAAGTGTCCCCCAGAGTTGGGGTGGGGGATGGTGGCGCAGAACCGCCCAGTACCTTAAAAAGAGCTTAGGATTTTGACCTTCGACCTTCCCCGTTGTCAGGCTCCGGAAGGTGGGAGCATGGCAGAGGGTCAGGGACCCGCTCAACCCGCTCCAAGACTGGGATGGCCCTTACCCAGCACCTCCTGCTTCAGCTCCTCTATGCGGCCCGAGTGGAGCAGGTGATAGGGCAACTCCTTCAGCTTCCGCAGGTTTGCAACCGTGTCTGAGAACCACAGGGGCTGAGGGGCCACCTGCAGAGGAGGAGGGGGCTGGCAGCCAGGCCACTAGGACATAAACTTATTCATTCGCTCCACTAACATGGGCCGGGCACCAGGTGATGCTGGAGGGGACAGGGATACAATTCCAGACAGAGATACCTCCCCCCAACAGGCTAGGCTGGGACAGGTGGAGCTTGGGGCCAAGGGAATCCAAGAGGCATTAAAGCTGGGTCTCGCAGGACAAGTAGGAACCAGTCTGGTGAAATGTGTCAGAAACAATGGCATTTCAGAGCAAGAGAACGCCATGTACAAAGGCCCGGAGGGAGGACACTGGTGTGTCAGGGGAAATGGGAGCATGAGTTAAAACTCTGATGGGAAGTGCGAGGGTATAGCTTGGTGGTACAGCATGTGCTTAGCATGTACACAGTCCTGGGTTCAATCCCCAGCACCTCCATTAAAATAAGTAAATAAATAAACCAAATTACCTCCCCCCAAAATAAAAGCAAACAAACAATAAATAAAATATTTTTTAAAAAATCTCTGGGACCTTGGGAATATGCTTCTGAATGTTATGATTTTGTTTTCTCTGGAACGTTGAGGAGGGGATGGAGTTGTACATCCTTCATCTGCAGCTCCCCACACCACAAATAATGCTCAGGGGCTGAGGGGACATCTCACCCTCCATGGGAAGAGAAGAGAAGGTCGTAAGGGTGTTTAGGGTGGAAATGAGGGAAGGAAGGATACGTGTGGTCCTAGCCAGGCCCTCCCTGCCTTGTGGAGGCTGCGAGTGGGGACCAGGGGTCTTGAACACCTCACCTTACGGTCCAGGTTCAGGGGCTTTCCCACGAGAGGCAGGGTGATGAGTTTCTTGGTGCCCTGGCTCCAGGCCCCTGAGAAGAAGTCGGCTAAAACTCCATGACTCTTGGCTTTCTCGGGCCCGGACAGGTAGCGCTCCCGGACCACCTCAGCCAGCTGTCTGCAGACAGGGGACATTGGCTGATGGATCTGGGGCACCAGATGAGCTCAGAGGTGATCACTGGCCTTCCAGGAGGTGGTTCCCAAATGCAAGTCCATCCTAAACCACCTTCCAGATGCTCGCTGGCTCAGCTGACCACAGGTACGATTTTTTTACCTACCATTTCTCTCTATATTGGCCCATCTTTCTTTTTTTTTCTTAAATAAATGCACTTTAAAAAGGGACACTTGGAACTTATTTACAAAACAGAAACAGACTCACAGACATAGAGAACAAACTTACAGTTACCAGGGGGGAAAGAGGGTAGGGAAGGATAAATTGGGAGTTCAGAATTTGAAGACACTAACTACTATTTATAAAATAGATAAACACCAAGGCCCTACTGTCTAGCACAGGGAACTATATTCAATACCTTGTAATAGCCTATAATGAAAAAGAGTATGAAAAAGAATTATATATGTATAACTGAATCACCATGCTGTATGCCAGAAATCAACACATTGTAAACTGATGATACTTCAATTCAAAAAAGTTTTTAAGAAATATTTGAGTTCCTCAATAAGTTAAACATAGAGTAAGTTACTGTATGAGCCAGCAATTTCACTCCTGGGTACATACCCCCGAATAACTGAAAAATAGGTGTTCAAACAAAAACTTGTCTTCGCACATTCACAGCAGCACTCGTCATAACCACCAAAAGGTAGAAACAACCCACGGGTCCATCAGCGGATGCACAGATGAATAAAATGTGGTCCATCCCTACACGGAATAGTGTTCACCCATAGAAAGGAGTGAAGCACTAATACATCCCATAATGTGGATGAACAACAAGAACGTTATGCTGAGTGAAATAAGCCAGACACAAAAGATCACATCGTGTGTGATTCCATTTATACCGAAATGTCCGGAACAGGTAGATCCATAAAGAAAGCAGTTCAGTGGTTGCCAGGGGCTGGGAGAGGGAGGATGGGGAGTGACAGCTAACAGGGCTGGGGTTTCCTCTTAGGGTGATGGAAACGCTCCAGAAATAGATAGAGGTGATGGTTGTACAACACTGTGAGTGTGCTAAATGCCAGTGATTGTTCACTTTCAAATGATGAATTTTATATTGTGTCAATTTCTCCTTAATTTAAGAAAACAAGTTAGCTGTGTTAGAGCGGGCGGTGTAGAGACGCTTGAATGCTGGACTTGATTCCCTGGGAATGGGGAGCAAAGAAGGATCTGGAGCAAAGAGGAGCCCGGACAGTGAGTCCTTGCTCTTGCATCTCATCCAGGGTCATCAACCTGCTCCACCCACCTGTAGGCGATGGCCAGGAGTGTGAAGCCATCCACCGGCCGTCTGGCCAAGCAGTTACCCAGATCCCGACGCAGCCTCACCCACAGCAGGGGTGGGAACCGCAGCAGCTCTTTGCTGGGCGGGTTCCAGTCCTGATACACAGTCTGCAAGACCTCATCATCCAAGGACAGCACGTCCTTCAGCTCTGCCTCTGAGAGCCCGTGCCTGCAGGGAGGAGGGATGGGCATTGGAACACACCTGTGTCTCCTGGATTTGGAGGATGCAGAAGCTGAAGGAGGGACAGACATGGCAGGCTCTGTGGCGTCCTGTACATCGGTTACCAAAGGGTTCACAGTGCGGATCGGTATGTGGACAATGCCCACGCCCGGCTGGTACCAACACCCGGCTACCGCCGTACCCATCAAGTAAGACATTTCCTGGTCTTTCCTTCTCACACACACCTACAGAACCCTGAACCATCCCCTCCTGCATCTCAGACAAGTCAGGCAGCACAGGAAGGGAGAGGGGAGATAACTTTGGGAAATAATACAGAAACCAAGAGTGCCCACCCCATGTTTTCTTACCTGAGAAAGGAAATAGCTTTAAATAGAATGAGCTATCGAAGTTTTTGTGCTAGACTGTGAGAGCGCCCTTGTCTATTCTGCCATGTGAGGTTTCAGTGGAAAATGATTGTCTTTGAACCAGGAAGCAGGCTCTCACCAGGCACCAAATACGCTGGTGCCTTAATCTTAGACTTCCCAGCCTCCAGAACTATGAGAGGTAGATTGTTCAGAAATCCAACCAGTCTTAGGGCATTTTTGTTATAGCAGCCCACAAGGACTAGACAGAGGTGTAGCCATACAGTGGAATATTATTTGACCATAAAAGGAACAAAGTACTGGTACTCACCTCAATGTGGATAAACCTTGAAAATATCATGCTGGGTGAAAGAAACCAGGCACAAAAGACCACATATTGTATGATCACATTTACATGACTGTCCAGAGCAGGATCCACAGAGACAGAAAGTAGACTCATGGTTGCCAGGGGCGGGGGGAGGAGGTATGGGGAGTGACTACTAATGGGGATGGAGTCTCCTTTCAGGAACGATGGAAATGTTCTGGAACTAGATAGAGGTGATCATGGTACCACATTGTGAATGTACTAATGCCACTGGATTGTAGCATGTTAACATTTTAATTTCACCTCAGTTAAATCATCTCACTCTGCTAAATGCAATGAGGAATGCTGAATTGGCTCCAGGACCAGAAAAATGACATTGGTGGAAAAACTGGTGAAATCCAAGTCAAGTCTGGAGTCAAGTTCATAGTCACACACCAACGTTAAAGTCCTCGTTTTGACAGCAATGCTATGGTTATGTTGGATGTTAACCCGAGAGGAAAATTGGGGGAAGGATCTAGAAGAACTCTATATGATCTTTGCATCTCCTCTGTAAATCCAAAATTATTCCTAAATAAAGGTTTATTTTTAAAAAAATTCTCATTCTTGCCTCCTGGGAGAAGGGATTTGATGAGGGATGAACACAGAGGCATGGAGACAAATCAGGGGCTGGGGCACTCGTTAAGGTGGAGAGGGGGATGACCTGGAACAAGGTGAGGTAGTTGGAAATGGAAATAATGGTTAGTTCTGGATGTTTTAGAGGCAGAGCCAAGAGGACTTGCTGACTATGGAGGGTGGTGGGATGTTGAAGGAGAGGAAACGAGAATGATTCCTGGTTATGCAGAAGGTGATTACATTACTAAATGGGAAACCATGGATGGGAGTAGGTTTGGGGGGCAAGAACCTTTGCTAGACACATGCTACCATCATGCTTGGGAGAAATGCGCCCACTCAGCTGCTGGCAACTACCAACCTGCTTTTTTGTCTCCTTGGGTTTACCAATTCTGGACATTTCACGTAAGTGGGATCATGTCATATCATCTGTGCTCAACACTGACAACCCTGCCTGGGCGCGTGCCTCAACCCAGTCTGTCCAGGCTTCAATAGCAGGAGTCTACAACAGGGGGCAGGAGACCCAAAAGGGACATAAGAGCAGGTGAAGACCTGTGAACAATCCTGGGGGAGGGGCAGTGCCATTTTCCTGTCCTCTCCAAAGCTGCTCACTGCAATCTTAGGACCTGTCCCTCTTTGCACCTTCTCATCTAAGTTTGCAGCTGAATCTCCAACCCAGCTGGAGGGAGGCAGGGCAGAGAGCATTCCTCCATTTGTCAGATGGGAAAACTGGGGTTTCTATATTCATGTCCCTGAATGGCCAAGAGAAGAGGAATTCAACTTCGTCCCTGCTCTTGAAGATTTTGTGTCTCATCAAGTCTAGATCTATGATGTCCAATACAGTGGACACCAGCCACACATGGGCACTTAAACTCATTAAAATGAATAAACTTTAAAATCTAGTTTCTGGGTTGCATAAGCCTCCTTTCAAGGGTTCAATTGCCACATGTGACTCATGGTTACTGTGTTGGACAGTGAACACAGAGCATCGTCCTCACTGTCAATGTTCTATTGGATGGAACTGGAAGATTCTCTCTGTTGGAGAGACTGGAAGATGTATCCACAGTCACAGCCAAACCACTAAGTTGAGAGCCTTTCTCTGCCCCCAAAGACATCTCCTTAACAACCTGGACCCAAGGGAGGCACCTCACCTGCTCGCCACATAGGACTCACCTTGCCTGCATTGCAGACCTGCATTTGATCCTAGCTGAGGGATCATGGCCAGTGAGGTACCCTCACAAGCATGATCTCATTACTGCTTCCAGCAGCCGTAGAGAACGGATGCTCTTCCAGTCATTCCCTCTGTAAAGAGGGGGCCTGGTGAGGCCACAATGCATCCCTGGCACAGCATTTTTCAGCCTCCTGCTGTTGACAATAAGGGTGGGATGGCTCTTTGTCATGAGGACTGTCCTGTAGTTTGTAGAATGTATAGCAGCATCCCTGGTCTCCAGTCACTAGGTGTCAGTAACATGATAGGGACACGACAGATAGACAGATATGATAAATGATGGTATATAGACAGATGTAGAGGGGAGGACGTAGCTCAGTGGTAGAGCATGTGCCTAGCATGAATGAGGTCCTGGGTTCAACCCTCAGCACCTCCATTAAAATAAATAAATAAATAAATAAATAAATAAATAAATAAATAAATAAATAAACTTAATTCGTCCTCCTCCCAGGAAAAAGATAGATGTAGATAGGTGGATGGGTGGATGGACAGACAGATATAATAGATTATAGATAGATATGACAGATTATAGGTAAATGTAGATAGATAAATAGCTGAATGGATGGATAAATAGATATTATGATAGATGACAGAGAGACAGGGAGACAGAGGGAGAGACAGCCAGACAGGGTCTCTGTCACGCTACGGCAGGGTTTCTCATCCTCAGTGCCACTGACATTTGGGGCTGCATCATCCTCTGGCGGGGGCTGGGAGGGCATCTTGTGCACTGCAGGGTGTTGAGCAGGGTCCCTGGTCTCCACCCACTAGATCCCAGCAGCCCCCCATCCCCTAGTCATGACAATCAAAATGTCTCCATTGTTCAGTGTTCACCTGGGGGGGCACAGAATGTCCCTGGGTAAGAACACTGGTCTAGAAGAACTCAAATCTGCCCCGAGAGCCAGGTGCTCAAGCATCACTCTAGGCTAACTCCATGTGTAAACATAACATATTTTCATGGAAGAAGAGGAACCGAAATCACTCACCCTTCATAAATCACCTCCCTTGCCAGCCCTGGAGGACAAGTGGTTCTCCATCCCAGGGGACTCCTGGCTTTACTAACTGAACCAGACATGCAGCCAAGAAGGCCAACTGATGTCTATCTCCCTGGATTTTGCAACCAGGACTCAAGAAGGAGCCAGCATGATGGTACCAGATCTCCGAAATGGGAGCTCATGATGCCAGCAGAAGCTCATGGCAGGCAGGCTACACTTACAGAGGAGAAAGGAAGAGTCTGGAACAGAAGATGACGTGTAGAGAGGACCCAGAAGGAGAGGGGATGAGAACCCTCTCCTGATTCTGCAGGTTTCCAGTTCCCATGGCAACCCCACCTTCCATGTAGACTTCATCAGTTTGGCCTGATGGCCCACTCTCTTATTCTGGAGCATTCCCCGGTCTGTCTTTGAGCTCCCTGTAGAGTCCAGGCCAGTCCCCCACTCTGGGGGCATCAGTCACAAAATCTGGGGTGCAACATGACATCTGAGCTTCGCCCTCTGGAGCTGGCTAAGGTGTTCGTCCTCCCTTCCTGCATTCCTTGGGCTTCCCCATGGCTTTGGCATAAACCCTTATTCCTTACAAGATAGCATAAGAGGGTTTCTTTTCTTGACAAACAAACAAAAAGACCCCCTCACTGGGCTGATCGCCGCCTCTTTGACTGTTTTGTGGCAAAAGACAAAGGTCTTAAAGAGAAAACTGCCCCCCAAACTAAGAAGAAACAAAACTGCATTGTCTGGCATTTCTGAGGATGGGCTTGAGTATCTTCTGACAGCTGTTCGCATTGAGGCAAAGCTTCACTGCTTTATGTGCCGGCTAATTGGCTCCATCCCACCCTCCCGGGGGATGCTGGGTGTGTCTGATGAACACACTCCTCTCTCCTGCTCATTATTTCTGACTCACCTTCCACACCTGGCATCTCTGACCATCATGACCCAGGTTGATCGGAGTTTGAAGCCCTGAGACTTTCGCTGAGCTGGAGAAACCACGTTTATTATTTTTTTTAATTTTGTTTTTTATTGAAATGTAGTTGATGTACAATGTTAATTTCAGGTGTACAGCAAGGCAATTCAGTTATGAGGAGCAAGTGCATTTAAATATTCATTCCTTTACACAAATGAACTTATTTACAAAACAGAAACACACTCACAGAGAAAACAAAATTATGGTTACCAGAGGGGAAAGGGGGTGGGAAGGGATAAATCGGGAGTTTGAGGTTTGTAGATACTAACTACTATATATAAAATAGATCAACAAACAAGTTTCTTCTGTACGCAGGGAACTATATTCAATATCTTGTGTAAGCTATATGAAAAAGAATATGAAAACGAATATATGTATGTACATGTATGACTAAACATTATGCTGTACACCAGAAATTGACACAACATTGTAAACTGACTATACTTCAATAAAAAAGAAAAGAAAAAATAAAAATAATAGATATTCATTTCTTTAAATTATATAAACACATTGGAATCAGATTTTTCCTCTTTACTTTTTGCTGAATCTCATGCTACAAAGCCTGGAATTGAATGTAGACCCATGCTTGTGGTCAATTCTTCAGAGAAATTTGCCTTACTTCTTTTTATTTTTTTGCAGGGGGGTAATTAGGTTTATTTATTTTTAATGGAGGTACTGGGGATTGAACCGAGGGCCTCATGCATGCTAAGCACGCATTCTACCACTGAGATATACCCTCCCCCTTAGAGAAATTTGCTTTAAAACGATTTTTCTGACATCTCCCCACACTTTGCTTATTAATTACAAAGGGGAACGTTGCAAATTTACAGTAGGAGAAAAAAATCCGTGCCCAGGAATGTCCAAACATCACCTAAGTTTAACCTGAACATCATCACGAGGAGACAGACCAACCCAGATGGAGCAACGATGTACCAATTCCCCTCCACCCCAAGTGTGGTCCCTGGACCAGAAGCGTCAGCACCGCCAGGGAGCTTGGGAAAAATACAAGACCTGAGGTTTCAACCCCAGACCTGCTGAATCAAAGTCTTGATTCAAAACCAAGACCTGAGATGTGCATACCCATGGAGGGTTAAGGAGTGCTCAGCTGCAAAACAGCTGGCTTGGACTCTTCAAAGGGACAAAGACAGATGGTAGAATGTTCCAGATTAAAGGATGCCAAAGAGACTTGACAACTCAATGCAACATGTGATCCTGATTGGGGCCAAGGAGGGGGGACAGTTATAAAGGACATTTTTGAGACCATTGGCAAATTTTGACTATAAACTGTGTATTAAATAACATTATTGCATCTATGATACATTTCCTGAGTGTTATCATTGTCCTGTGGTGATGCAGGGTTCTGATTGTCCTTGTTCTTGGGATATATGTGAAGTACTTAAGGGTAAAGTGGAGTGGTGCCTATGATCAACTCTCAAATGGTTCAGGGAAGAATTATATGTGTGTGCATGTGTATGTGTGTGCATGTGTGTACACAGAGACATGATAGATAGATGGAAAAAAAGGAAGAGAGAGAGAGAAAAGAGAGGGAGAGAGAGGGAGAGAGAAAGCTAATATGGCAAATTGGTGATTTCAGGGGGAGGGTGTATGGCAGTATTTCCCAACTAGGACCTATTCTGCCTGCAGGGGACACTTGGCAATATCCTGAGATATTTTTGTTGTCCCAGCTGGGGGCTACCACGAGCATCTGGTGGGTAGAAGCCTGGGATTCTGATCAATGTCCTACAGTGCACAGGACGGCACCGCCCACTGCAAAAACTGACCTGGCCCCAAATGTCAATAGCACCATGGCTGAGAAACTGATATATGAGTGCTCTTCACGTTATTTTTGCACTCTGGGAGTTCTTCTTCTAGTCTATCACTTGAAAGCATTTCTAAGTAAAATGCTTGCCAAAAAAAATACCCTAGACAAATGCATAAGGACCAAAAGCAGATTAGTGATTGCCAGGGGCTGGGGGAGGGGAATGGGGAGAGATGGTTAGGGCACAGGGTGTCCTGGTGGGGTGAAGAATTGTTCTGGAGATGGCTTGTGGTAGTGCCACACTGTGGATGTTCTAAATGCTGCTGAACTGTCCACTTTAAAAGAGAGAACTTTATGATATGAATTGTACTGGGTTGCATAGTGTTCCCCCAAATTCATGCCCATGGGAAACCTGAGTACATGGTCTTATTTGAAAGCAGTCTTTGGGGAAGTAGTCAAGTGAAGATGAGGTCATACTGGATGGAACTGAGCCTTAATCCCACGAGTGATGTCCTTCCAAGAAGAGGAAAATTCAGACAGAGAGAAGGTCACAAGTTGATAGAAGCAGAAATTGGAGAGATGTGTCTACAAGCCAAGGGATGGGAGGGTGGCCAGCAACACCAGAAGCTACGAGAAAAGTCTAGAATGGATTCTCCTCTAGAGCTGTCAGAAGGAGCATAGTTCTGCAGACAACTTGATTTCAGACTTTAGCCTCCAGAACCATGAGAGAATAAATTTCCATTGTTCTAAAGCACCCAGCTTGTGGCTTGTTATGACAGCCCCTTGAAAAGAGTGCATGCATTCTATCTCAATGACCAAAAGGTGAAAGTAACAGAGACTCACCGGGAAGACACGATGTAGCCCAGCACACGGGCCACCAGGAGCTGCCCGTGTGTCTGCTCCAGGCGGGCACACAGTTCGTGCATTGCTTCCTTAGCAGTGGAGGCTAGTGGGGCGGGCACGGTGAAGGAGGCCCATTTTCGGGCCTCCTCGAAGGCCAGCCTCAGCCGCCCTGGGTGCCCGCACTCTGGGAGGCTGGCCCAGAGCAGGTCCCTCTGCATGGGGCTCAGTGTCCTCCTCGAGGCTGCCAGCAGGAGCTGGATCATCTCTTGCCCTTGGTTTCCGGAGAGGGGTCTCACCTCCCAGTAGGCCCCTGGGTCCGTGAGCACCTGCCGCATCATGTCTAAAACCCCCTGCTGTCCTGAGCAGGCCGAGAGGATGAGGTGGACCCTCGGGGGGCACTTGGGAGGCAGCCAGGGGACCCTCCGAGCATGGTGAACAGAGTCCACCTCATCCACTGAGTCCAGCAGGATCACAAGGGACTCGAAGTTTCGGCAGGAGACGGTGTGGAGGAGGGTGTGGAAAAATTGGACCACCCTGGTGTGGGCCTCCAGGACCTGGGCAGGGGGCAGGGGTAGCCCATAGGCCAGGCACACCTGGAAGCAGATGCTCTGAAGTAGGCTGCGGGCATCGGAGCTCATCTGTGACGTCCCCAGAAGCCGCAGCATGGTCACCGTCTTGCGCCCGAGCAGCACCGGCATTTGCTCAGCCAACTTGCACATCAGAGCCGTCTTTCCAATGCCTGGGGGTCCAAAAATCACCAGAGGCGGGTGAGGGTGGCTGTCGCTCTCCCGGAGCCGCTGCCCCAGCTGGGCCAGGAGCTCCTGGCGCCCACAGAAGGTCCGGGTGGCCTCGGCACTCAGCCCCAGGTGGTGGCGGATCTCCTGGTAGAGCCACGCCAACTCCTGCCTGCCCACCTCTAGCTCCCGGAGGCACTCGAGGACCTGATGGTTAGCTCTGGCCACAAACTGCTCCCCAAGCTCCTTCAGGTACCGGGCATGAGCCTTGTTTTTGGGGTTCACCAGGTCTCGACTCCACGCCAGGTGGTGGGCCTTGAGAACTCCAGGCTGCATGTCGGCGATGCGCCCCTTAAGGCTGCAGAGAAGGTTCTGGGCGTCCATGTCCAGGCAACCGTCTGCGAGCCGGTCCACCATCTTGAGGGCACAGTCTTCCAGGATGTGTTTGTCGAGGTCTTGGATCTCTCTCAGGAAGACAGTCGCCCCCTGGTCCCTGTCTGTCGAGCTCAGCAGTCCCCGTTCAATTTCCCACTCAATGACTGCAAAGGTGGAAGAGATGGGAGAGAGTGTGGTCAGCTTTACGTCATCAGCAGGATCGAACAAGGACCCTTAGGAGACACATTCCTGGGATGGGAACATTGGTTCTCAAGCTTAACGTGTGCCAGAGTTACCTGGCATAACCGTAGACAACATGCAAACGAATGTGCTCGAGTGTGTTCCAATAATACTTTATTTACAAAAAACAAGCCGTGGGCCGGGTTTGGCCTGAGGACCGCAGTTTGCCAGAGTCTCCTGGGGGCTCACCAAAACCCACATGACTGGGCCCCGCCTCCAGAAGTTCCGATTCTGCACATCCAGGTGGGGACCCCTGGGTTTGCATTTCCAGCACATTCTCAGGCGATGCTGAGGCTGCCGTTCCAGAGGTCACACTGGCGTAGCACTGATTTAGCTGTGATTAATCAATGAAACTGGTGTAGGCACCATAGAGATCGTGCGTGAGCAGCAGCTCCATCATAAAACAGTGCCACCAAACTCAAAAAGTTAACATGGCGTTACATAGGACCTAGCAATTTTGCTCCTAGGTAGGAACCCACAAGAGTCAGGGAGGACCCCAGGGGGAGACCTGGCAGCCTCACCTGACCGGTGGTAGCGGCGCCACTGCTCCTGGGTGATGAGGCCCAGCCTCCAGGCCTCCTGGGCTCCGGAACGCAGTGCAGAGTTCAGGGTGGCCTCCTCGGGCCCACGGGCCTCCCTGATGCCCAGGGACTGCAGCAGGTAGGTAGGGGGCACAGCGTTCTCGTCCTTCCGGAAGCGTCGTGCCACCAGCTCCAGGTCACGTGGCCTGGCAGTCAGCTGAGCCCTCAGTGCCTCCCACTCCTTCTCTTCAATCAGGGCGGGGATGGGACAGGGGCCGTACTGATCACCTATGAGGGCCTGGCAGAGAGGGGAGGGGCACGAGTTCAAATCTTGGCTTGGGCACTCAGCTCTGTGACCCTGGGCGAGGTACACCGTGCCCCTAAAACAGGCCTGCCAGTCATGCCACGGAGATAATTATAGTAATGTAAGCAGATAGGTTAGGAGGTCCCCAGAGAAGGAGAATCAGAAATGGCTTTCTTGACATAAGCGAAACCATTTTGGCCTAAACCATTTTGTTATCTCAGCCCAGCCACAGTGCTGGCCCTTCAACGGGTCTCAATAATCAGTGATCTTAAGGGAAGTGAGGCAGTGCAGGAACAAAGGAAAAACAGTCAAGAAACAATAGTTCAGCAATAAAACACAATCCTAATTCCTCCTCAAGGGATATACATAAAGATCTGTCTTTGAGTTCTGCAGGAATTAAGACCCCACACCCACGTAGGGGATGGAATGATGCTGTTGATCCCCCAGACCTCAATCAACTAAAGCTTGGACTCTGTCGACCTTTGCCCCAATTCTATGCTGAATTCTATTCTACTCAAGCTCCTTCATGAATATGCATACCCTCTTCACTTAAAAATTCCCCAATGTTGCTGTTCAGGGAGACACTGCTTTGGGAAAGGTCCCCAGTGATCTCCTCACTTGCTGCAAGTAATAATAAATCCTTCTCCTGATCTTCGGCTTGGTTGTGCCCCTTGGGTCACCACCAAGAGGCGAGCCCAGGTTTCAGATAACATTAAGAAGTGCAGGCAGAGCCTTAGAGGACCTTCATACAGAGGCACCTGAGAGCACGGGACATGGGACAAGTAAATTTTGAATCTGATGGAGCACTAAGTATCACAGAACCTTTTGCTGGAAAACTCCTGTGGTTTTGTGGGGCTGAATAATGGCAGAATGGAAGTGGTTCGAGGTCATGGGTTTAAGAGTCAACCAGGAAAGGGAGATGGTTAGATCCGAGCACAGAACCTCTGAGTTCTGAGCACAATCATCCCCCAGATCTATACTGAGCCAAGCCCATCACAGCTGCTCAACAGACATCAGGACATCAGTGACCAAGACAGTCTTGGTCCTAGACCGAGGAGTCTTTAGCAGAAGCTGGCATCAATCTAAGAATTGCACCAGTGTCAAAACTGCAGCTGTCAGAGCACTAGGAAGAGAGGGTAAGGTGGGTTACAAGTGGGCTGTGGAGTCACAGAAATTCCCCTGAGGGCATGAGGATCAAGCTGCAGAATAAGACATGAGAAGGAGTGCCCTGGATAGAGCAGTTGGCAAGCAGGGGAACAGCACGTACAAAGACCCTGGGGCAGGAAGTGTGGCAAAGGACCAGTACCCAAAAGCTGGGGTAGCTAAAGCACTGACAAGGAGGGGGCAGTAAAGAGAGATAAGGCCATCTGCTGGGAAGATTTTGTAGGGCTTGGTGAGATCTTAAGATTTTGATCTTACTGCTGAGAACACTAGGAGGCTCTCTTTCTGCCCCAGCATGCTTGGAGAAGGTGCAAACTGGAACACCAGAGAATTAGGCTGGAGGAGGCCAAGGACCTCAGGCTCAAAGTCTTGAGTTTCCTCATTATGTAAAATGGAAGTGTTGGGAAAATGGGGCTCAAGAGGATAATCATGTCCCAGGTCTCAGGCAAGTCCCCGGGACGCACCTCGCCAAGTGAGGGTCCTTGGCTTCGTGCAGGAAAGAATTCAAGAGCGAGCCATAGTAAAGTTGAAAGCAAGTTTATTTGGGGAGATACACACTCCATAGACAGAATGTGGGCTGTCTCAGAAAGCAAGTGAGGCCCCGGGAGATTCGGTTGTCTTGGAAGTTGAGAGCAGCCTAGGAGATACACATTCCATAGGCAGAATGTGAGCCATCTCAAAAGGAGAGAGGCCCCAGGGTGCGGGGTGGTCAGTGTTTATGGGCTGGGTAATTTCACCTGCTAACAAGTGGGAGGATTATTCTGGGGAAGTGGAGGGGATTTTCTGGAATTGGGCTACCACCCACTTTTTGGCCTTTTACAGTCAGCCTTGGAACTGTCATGGCACCTGTGGGTGTGTCATTTAGCATGCTAATGTATTATAATGAGCATATAATGAGGCTTAAAGTCTACTGGAAGTCAAATCTTCCACCATCTTGGGCTTAACTGGTTCTAATCAATTTATGTCTATCCTCAATGACTGTGTCATTCTTTTAATGGTTTTGTCCTGCCCCCTTCCCTCCTGTCTCAGAAGCAATCACCCCTCCCCTCTTCATTAGGTTGTTTCAGAATATTCAAGGTGTGTGCATCCAGGAAACTTGGATAAATAGAATCTATGATGATGGGATGTTGAAGAGGATGCTACTCTCCAGGGGCCCTTTCCTGCAAGAAGAGCCTTGGAGGAGCAAAAGGAGTTGAAAAAGGCTTAGTTAGCCAGCCAACCACAAACCAGAGGTCTCGGGAAGGAGACAGATGGTACAAGGTGCTCCTGTATGTAGGACAAGAGCAAGGGGAATGGGAGGAACTTGAGAGAAAATCAAGAAGCTGTAACTGAGCAGGACCCTACAGGGCCTTCCTGGGACAGACCCCCCCCCACCTCCGACATCCTCTGCCTGCCTCTTGTCTGTAGAAGTACTTTAGCCAAAGAATAAATTTAATCAGAGAAGTGAGAAAGTGCAGAAGCAAAGGAAAATAGCCAAACAAGACAAAATAATAACAGTTCAGCCCTTAAGCAAAGTCAAGGAATTTAGCTCCTCCTCAAGGGCTATGGATAATATTCTAAGCCACATCCTAAGGGCTGTTCTGCAGATAGTGAAACCCCCACCAGGTGGAAGAAGTTATCTGTGTGATGACCAGACTAGTGGTGACATAAGCTGCTCCCCGCACAGTTCAGAAAACTGGCTTCAAGGGAATGGGAACAAATTGACCCTGGAGTTGAAGATTAACCAGACTTAAAACAGTCAAGATGACGCTGATCAGACCACTGCATGACCAGTTTCAAGATGACTGTCAGAGCTAACTGTGCTGTTCTGCAAGTAGCCTCCCCCAGCCCCCAGGCTTGTGCGCCCCTGAAACTCCCCTTTAAAAACTCTTGCTCCCTGAGCAACAGGGAGTGTTGGTTCTTTGGGACATGAGTCTGCCTTCTCCCCAGACTTCCTCAATAAAGCTATCTTTCCCTTTACACACCACTTGTTTCTCAGTATTGGATTCTTGAATAATGAGCAATGAAACCTGAGTTTGGTAACAGAGCCACCAGGAGCAATTCTCTGGAGACGCTGGAGTTGCAGGTGGCCCGAGAGACCCAGAGCCTCTAGAAGGAAGTGCCATGGGGAGCTGTCCCCTGTTGCACTGCCTAATGACTTATTTACTGGAGAGATACCTCTCCAAGGGGCTCCACCACATCTCTGATTGTTTGTGGAAAGCACCCCAAATCAGAGCCACTAAAGGAGAATGATGCCATAACTCTTGGGAGATAGAGGGGAGATGTCTGCTTCAAGAGGAAAGTAGGAAGTGGGTAGAGGTCAGCCTGCAGCCCAAGGAACCCTTCTGGAAGGATGTGCAAAGTCCCTGGGCCGGTGGGGCCTGGCGGATGCTCAGAGATCATCCTCCCTCCTGTCCCTCATGCCACCAGGAAGCTGCGTTGTGCTTTTGGCCGCCTGCAATTTGGGTTGCAAAATCAAATTCCTCCTGGAGTTCTTTTTCTCCCCATCTCCTCTTTTTCTTTACAGTTTTTTTTTCCTTTTCTTTTTCCCTTTGACATTCAACAAAATGATCAATCATCAGGTTCATTTGAAAAATGAAATTAGCAGGCTGGAAACAAAATTTTGTGAAGTTGATGCACAAGCCAGAGGGTAGAGCCTTTCAAACATTAGGATGTATTTTAAAGCAATAATAATTTTTAAAAAGTGATGCAAACTTCCAGTTACAAGATTAATTAGTCCTGGGATGTAATGCACAACATGACGACTGTAGTTAACACTGCTGTAGGGTATATTTGGGTTTTTTTGTTTGGTTGGGTGGTTTTTATTTGAAGTATAATTGATCTACAATGCTGTGTTAGTTTCTGGTGTACAGTATAGTGATTCAGTTATATATATATATATACTTTTTCATATTCTTTTTCTTTATAGGTTATTATAAGATATTGAATATAGTTCCCTATGCTATACAGTTAAAACCTTGTTGTTTATCTGTTTTAGATATAGTAGTGTCTGTGAATCTCAAACTCCTAATTTATCCCTTTCCCTCCTTCCCCTTTGGTAACCATAAGTTTGTTTTCTATATCTGTGAGTTTGCTTCTGTTTTGTAAATAAGTTCATATGTGTCATTTTTTTAAGATCCCACATATAAGTAATATCATGTGATATTTGTCTTTGTCTGTCTGGCTTACTTCATTTAGTATGACAACCTCTAGGTCCATCCATGTTCCTGCAAATGGCATTATTTCATTCTTTTTTATAGCTGAGTCATATGTAGGGTATATTTGAAAACTGCTAAGAGAGTAGACCCCTAACGTTCTCATCACAAGGGGAAAAAGCCTTTTTTCCCTTTTTCTTTCTTTTGAATCTATATAAGCTGATGGGTGTTAACTAAACATACTTAATAATCATTTCACAATGTACGTAAGTCACCATGCTGTACACTTTAAACTCAGGCAGTGCTGGATGTCAATCATATCTCAATAAAATCGGAAAAAGAAGAAAAGGTGACACCAATAAACAAAGAAAAGTGTAGAAGAAAAGAATGAAAACACAAGCCCAATTGTACAGATGAAACTTGATACGAAGTGAAGAAAGAAAGCCTGCTGCCCAGGTTTTAGTATTTTTTAGTGAGACCTAATCTCTAAGGCAGCACTAAAACCTTCGGCAACGCCGGAAGTGATCTTACCCGTGCTGTCCAGCGTGGTGGCCACTTGACACATGCGGCTACTGAACCACTGCAGTGTGGCCAGTGCAACCAAGGAATTGAACATTTTAATTCTACTTGATTTGCATTAATTTAAATTTAAATCACCACATGTGGTTCGTGGCTACCACACGGGACAGTGCAATTTTTCAGGCCAAACAGATTTCACCTATTTGTCTTTAATTCCCTAGAAAACAGCTCTTATAATGGGGCCCACTCTCGCCTACTTCCCACATTCTTATCTCCAGGAGAGGTTCAATAGGATTTTTCTTTTTATTGGGAGCTTGCTAAAAGCTTCTTGGTGACTAAGCAAGTGTGTTTGAGCAGAGAATACTTTGACTTTTTCCCTCTTTACTTTCTAGGACAGGGGTGGACAAACTTTTTCCATCAAGGGCCAAACTCAGTATTTTCAGCTTTGCAAGCTGGAAGGTTTCTGTAGCAACTACTCAGCTCTGCCATTGTAGCTGGAAAGCAGCCTTGGGTGATATGTAAATGAATATTTACTATTTATATATTTGTGTGGTATCTACATATTCATGAAACATTTACATGTTCATGTATATTTACATATTCATGTAATGTGTGGTTGTGTGCCAATGAAGCTTTATTTACAAAAATACGTAGGGGGCTGGATTTGCCTCATGGGCTATGGTGTGCTGACCCTTGCTCTAGGATTTATGAGCCAAAATGCCATAGTTCCTGGTATATCTGGAACTTGACGGTGTAATAAATCAAAACTCTGGAATATCATTTGCTGATCATAACTCAGACTGTTCACTGTGAGCTGGGGATTGTTCTGGTGTCAGAGGGAGGGTAGCTGAGGGGGAGAGAAGACTCCGTATCGTGGAAAAATTGGCCTCGCCTGGGGTCAGAGGAAGTTTTCCCTCGAGGTAGGCTCCAGATAGGGCCACAGAGCCTGCTCCCAAAACCATAGAGCCCATATCCTGTAGATTTCCACCTTCTCTACAGTTTTCTACAATGTCAAAGTTACCTAGACAAAGTAGAGGAGGTGGGAAAGCTGGGGAAAGGTTCAGAGCAATTCTAAGATGCCTTTGGGCTTCAACATTCTGCTCTCCAACTCACCTGCTGCTTCCACTTGACTGCTAATGTTTGGATCCCAGCTAGCTCTGCAGAAAAATGAGTTCTGTGATCCATTAGCAATGCCTGCCACAGGCAGGCTATGGAGACTGGGTATGATAGCAGAAATGCCACCCACTTCCCTCCACTGACAGGTCTGGCTGAGAAGTAGGGGCCATATCCTGGTGTTAGAACAAGAAGTAAGAGCTAATCCATCCCTCCCAGGAGACTCACAACAAAAGCTGGCCCTATGGATGTTTTCCGACACCGGTCAAGCTCCTCCAAGCAGAGTTCCGTGGTCATGTGGTCAGTGGCCTCGCTGTTCCTAATTCCCCACCTCAGATCAACCACCTGGAAATTGCAAGCGTGGGTTTGTCAGGAAGGTGACAGGATGGGTGGGTTTGTTTGTTTGTTTCAATTCCCTTTGACAAAGGCAACGTTTCTTTTAATAATTTTTGACAGCCTCTCCCCAAAGAAGGATGTCTGGATTAAAAGAACTTGAATGATGCCCATAATCTCAGTGTAATCATGAGAAAAATATCAGACAGATCCAGACTGGGGACATCCCACAGGACACCTGAGGAGTCCTTTCCAAAACTGTGATGGTCAGCAGTGCAAAGGAAAAAAACTGAGAAGCAGTCTCAGATCAGTGTAGACTGGGAAGCCTTGACAACTAAACGCAACAGGGTTCCCTGGCCAGGGGCCTCGACCAGAGAGGACATGAATGTTAGACCTGGTGATAGCCAAGTATCACCTGGAGGTTGGTTATTGGTAATGTACTGATGTCCATTATTAGTTATGACAAATATACCCTGATAATGGAAGATGTTCACAATAGGGGGAAAAGTGGGGCATATGTAGGCAACTTGTCTGCAAAACTAAACTCCAAAATCCAGTTTTCTTAAAAACATTAAAAAATTTTTTTTAAAAAAAACTTGGACATTTTCGAGCTGTTCCTTTTTAAACAAGGACATGCCCACACTTGTTTGCAAAGCTTTCTTTGCAAAGGAGTGTTTTTGTTTGGCTAAAATCAGATGTGGCAAAGTCTCCTTGGCAACCCACACTTGCGGTCCAATTTTGCCTGCTGGCTGGAGGGGACCCAGGCAAAATGGTCCAATTCAAGTAGTGAAGCTGACCCCGTGGAAAGCTGGGCTGAAGAGAGGGGGATGGGATTCAGAATGGTCCCTGCCTCCCTAAATTCTTTGGTCCAGAGGGAAAGACATAAAATTCTTAATAAACTACAGCATGGGGTAAAAGGACTACAATTCTGCAGGTGGCTGGAGGAGGAAAAGGAGAAGGGGAAAGAGTCAGCCACCAGCCTCGGCCAAGAACCTTGGTCTCTCCCCACCACCATCTTGAGGATGTTTACTGTGTTTGCCACACAGCACCAGGTGGATATTAACAGAATGAGCATGGGGCATTTCATCTGTTCTCAGCGCCTATGTTCTCCTTTTTAGTCCCTCTGCCGTTGAACTATGTCTCAAGATCAGAGGCAGGCAGAGCGGAATTCCCATCACAGCCCTGCTGCTTTCTTAGTAACATAAAAATGATGGTGGGAGCCGTTGATGCAATGAATCACCATCATAAATGGCAAAGAGGCAGCGTCAGCTGAAGCCGAGATGCCAAAGATGGTTTGTCAGTTTCGGCTTTGAGCCGTGGAGGCAGTGGCATCCCCACCCTGGGACTGGTGCATGAGTCGTAGGAGACTCTGGGGCCAGTGGTGACTGCTCAGCTGGTACACCATTTGCGTCCCAGAAAAAAGGTGCGTCTCACCTCCACGACCCTCTTCCCCCCACCCCCAAGAACATCCCAGGGCCCTCTTACACGCCCCCCTGAAGATGCCCCAGTGCAGGGAGAGCGGGGGTGCAGGATAAAACAACAAAAGTGACATGTCCACGGAGCAGGGTCTCAAGGCATCCACTCCTAGCACTGTGTCACACCGCCCCTGCTGACCACGATGCCCATGTGGCGATCCCTCCTGTCTTTTACAGAGACTTTCATCTCCGTGGTGCATCACCAGCTCGGAGCCCCTCTGAGCAAAGGGTCCCGTATGACACCCTCGCTCCCTGACAGTGAGGCAGTGAGGGGCCAGCAGGCAATTACCTCGAACATCAGGCCGTGCTTCTGGCAGAAGGTCTGCACTTCGGGGTAGGCAGAGCTCTGTAGGGCTTCCCTCTCTGCATCCATGTCTGCAAGGAACAGCATGGAGGATGAATTGGAAGAACCCAGAAATCTTCCCTGGCCCAAAGCTCTATTTTTAGCTTCATTTGCTTCCACCAAGGCTGTGCCCCTCCACTGGCAAATCAAAAGATACAAAAAGCACGAGGTCAACCACGCCAGGGACTTTGCTGGTGTTAGTGCTAAAACCGACACTCCAGGAAATCCCTTAAACCCAGCTAACCAGGACGGTTGGTCATTTTAGGTTAGGGCTACCAGATAAAATACTGGACTCCCAGTTGATTTGCATTTCAGATAAACAGTGAAAGATCTGACAGCATAATTATAGCCCATTCTGTGGATTCCAGAATTTGCATTTCTGATAAGCCCTGTTCATTTTGCATTTGAGATAAACAACAAATCATTTGTTAGCGTAAGTATGTCCCTTTCTGCGCACTGTTTGGGATATGCTTTTTTAACCTTTAAAAAATTTTTTTGGTGGCAGTGATTAGTTTTATTTATATATTTTTAATGGAGGCACTAGGGATTGAACCCAGGACCTCATGTATGCTAAGCATGCGCTCTACCACTGAGCTATACTCTCCCGCCTTGTTTGGAATATACTTATACTAAAAGATTACTCGTTGTATGTCTCAAATGCAGATTGAACTGTGTGTCTTGGTTTTGTTGTTACTGTTTGGGTTTGGATTTTTTTTCATTTTTTTTTCATTGAAGTATAGTTGAGTTACAGTGTTGTGTTAGCCTCTGGTGTATAGCATGGTGATGATTTTTTTATTTTTGCTAAATCTGGCGTCCCTATTAAACCTGGACTCTTAAGACTTTTTCCCATCCCTGACTTCACTGTGCCAAGTGTCAAGCTAGCCTCAGTTTCCCTTCTCTGTAAAATGGGGGTGCTGCCCTTACAGGTCTGCAAGCTCTCCAAAGTCAAGAACCTCTGCTCATCTAGGTCATTGCTAATTTCTCTGCACTCAACACAGGCGCTCACTAAATGTTGGTGGAACCACTGAGGCTTACAAGTAAAAGCATTTACTGCAACATAGGTATTCAAGAGGCATTTGTTTTCTCCATGTAGCCAGGGAAAAGTCACTTTAGTGTCCATGCAAGGACTCCCAAAGCCACTGGTACAAAGAAGTTTCCCAGTCCCCAGCACAGGACCTGATCTGGATGCCAATCTTAGGATCTGTCTCCTACCCTCTTCCCATGGCTGTCTTATAAATTCCACAGATAATTTACACTTGACCATAAAATATCGACTCGGAAGTTACTTTATGCCCAGACACTGCCAAGTATCAAGGGCACAATGACAAATAAGGCCTACGTGGACAGCACGGTATACCAGAGCCGGGCCCCTGCTGGCCTGGGAGAGCTGATTGCTAAATCATCAGGAATTTTGTCCAAACCGCCACTAAGAAAAATGAAACCACCTGAACTTAGGATGGAACACATTGTAGTAAAAGTGGAAATCACAAATACTCAGAACTCATCACTTCTACATTATTTTACTACATTTGACCATGAGTTTGTTTACAACTAGGGACTTCGTGTTTGGAAAATCTTAGAGAATGCTGAGCTACCACACATCTCTGCCCTGACTCTGTGTTTATAAAGCCACACTGGCAGCTGGAAATTGACCATGGTGGGAGAATTTACACCACGGAAATTGGCAGGCAGTATGAGTCAGGTGTTTTGGTGGTTTTTTCTGTTTAATTTTGGAGGACAGATTATTAAAAATTTATCAGCACACATCATGTCGTCTTTCCCTTCATGGAACTTACAGCCTGGTTGGAGGACTCAGGCATTAAATAAACACTGAAACTGAATAACTACAGCTGATGGGGCCTGGGGCTTCATGAGTTCCAGGACCTGCTGGAGCCCAGTGTGATGACAACACGTGGGCAAGGTGAGAATCACACCAGGTGAAGTTGGGGAGTGAGGAGGGTCCAGTCATGCAGTTTTGCAGCTGTAGGAAGACTCTGGGATTTTTATGCCTAGCATATAGAATGCTCATCATTAATAATAGTTGAAATATTGTTTGCCACTCCCAACAACTCTATCAAGTCAGGCTCTGAACCTGCCTTATCGAGGAGGAAACAGAGGGTCCGAGAGGCTCTCCACCAGTCCCTGCATGGGTCACTGATCTGGCTGCATTCACATCCAGGTCTCTTAGAAGACCCTGCGAGCCCTTCCCATTACCCTGGCACTCCCTGAGCTCCCAGCCCAGCCCTGCCCCTTACCTGAGACTGTAGAGCTGATGAAGATGGCCACGCTGCTGGATGGAGGCACCGGCAAGGGGCCTGCCTGACCCTGGAGAAGCCGCCGGCGGGTGCCCGGGCTGAGGGGGCTGATGCTCATGCTGCCCGCCCACCTGGACAGTCCTTCCCAGGAACGGGCCTGGACCTCAGAGACCGCACACCAGCAGCCAGATGGCCTTCCCGAGAGGCCAGTCGGGCAGGGCCATCTGGAGTGGGGCACCTGTCTCACCCTCTGAGGCCCCCTGTCACCTCCAGTGCCCCTGGGGAGCTGAACCAGCAGCTGTCCACTGATCTGCTTGGTCTGCCAGCATCAGCAGGGGGATGTTGGACAGTGGCCACCCACCCAAGACCTCTGGATGTTGGCTCCTCCAGGCACTAGAGCCTTTTACCCCTCAAACAACAGCTCCTCGCTCCGGGAGCTCAGCGCTCACCACAGCAACTGTGGTTTCCTGGCGCTCGGCGTTGGGGACCAGCCAGCCTCCCGAACACCTGCGTCCCCAGGGGCTCCATGAAAGTTGAGCCTGGGCCCAGGTGTGCAGAGGGAGGCAGTGGGATGCTGGGAGCCGTGCCCAGCTCTGGGCCTGAAGGATGAGCACTTAGTGGGAGCCCCTACCCCATCTTGAACTCATTGTCCCCTCCAATGACCTTCTGGCCACCAGGTGTACTAGTTAAGCCAGCAATTCTCAGCTGGGGGCCATTCTTCTCCCCTACCCCCCAGGGGACATTGCAATGTCTGGAGACATTTTTGGTTGTCATGACTGGGGGAGGGGGAGCTACTGGCATCTATTGGGTGGAGCTCAGGGATGCTGCTTAACACCCCACGATGCACAGGATGGTGCCACCACAGAGAATGATCTGTCTCCAAATGTCAGCAGTGCTGAGAAACCAACTTTAAATTAACTCTAGTCGAATCTCCTCACCTGCAGAGGTGTGGAGCCTCTCTTTGATAAGAAGGGAGATTAGCCAGTCTTCTAAGGAGCAGTTAAGAACCTATCCAATCAAGGACCAAGCAGTTAAGGACCTATCCTATCCTGAGATGTGCTCTTTGACATAGTCAAAAAGTACCACTTGCAACAACGTGGATGGACCTTGATGGCATTATACTAAGTGAAATAAGTCAGAGGAAGACAAATACTGCATTATCTCATTTATACAGAAAATCTAAAAAAGCTTAACCCATAGAAACCGAGAGTAGAATGGTGGTTGCCAGGGACCAGAGGGAGGGGGAAATGGGGAGATGTTGGCCAAAGGGTACAAACTTCCAGCTATAAGGTAAGTCCAAGGATCTAACGTACAGCATGAAGATATTAACAAAACTATATTATATACTTGAAAGTTGCTAAGAGAGTTAAATGTTCTCACCACAAAAAAAGAAATGGTAATTATGTGACATGATGGAGCCATGGTAGCTAATGCTATGGTGAGAACCATTCTGCAATATATTAGTGCATCAAACGGACACGTTACATAACTTAAACTTATACAATGTTATATGTCAGCTATATCTCAATAAAGCTGGGGAGAAAATAATCAAAAATATGACCAGGGAAAGGCTTTCTCACGATTCTACCTTATTGAAAATGCTTTGGCAATCTGAGTCCTGCCCACCCGTCTCTCAATGTTAACAAACCACAGACAGGAGGAGTGTATACCTTGGTGTCCATGGGCCTGGTTGGAA